GGAGAAGTGGTAGGCGGTGGGCACTTGTGATGTTGCAATGGTCCACTGCACTGTATTCAGAGTTAAAACTTCATCAAATCGGTCAAATTTGGAATTCATTAATGCGATGTTTGGTTGGAACTTTGATTTAAGTTAAATAGGATTTACCAAGTCTCGTAAGCCTGGATTCATCAAATCCGGATTCATCAAATCCAGCGAGCATCGGAGGAGTTTGTGAGTGATAATAGAATAAATCTGGCATTCAATCGATTTAATAAATCCAGCTTTACATCGTAATATAGATAAAATGCAAGAAAATTTAATTTAAAGGAGCGTTGGATTTAGTTTTCATCTTCTAGATATTTGATTGGATTTAAGTTAAATTCATCACTAACTCCACTTAATAATATGCTACCAATCACAACTAATATATCTAGTACTAATATCTTGAAAATCTCTGAATTTGAAGTATTTCATACCCCATTTATTTCGAACCAGATGGCCACTTAGTCTATGAATAAAGCATATATTTATAGAGTTACGAACAAGTCTCTAATTACAACAAATTAATGCATATGTACTTGATACATTAAGAATGCAATAAATTATTAAGAATTATGGTTGATGATTTCATTGTGTTATTTATGATTTGGATGATGTTGTAAATATAATTATATAATATAATGAATGTTTTAATAATAAAATAAACAAGGTTCATCCTTGTGTGTGTGTGCGTGTCTGTTCACTCAATAATTTGATAGGTCAAAATCAACTTGCTGACCGATGAAAATCGTTAAGGAATCAATACATTATATGTAGATATAGACTCACCAACTCGCAAGAAGAGACCACGTGTTGCTTTAGATCAAGCATACTCAGAAGCTAAAGAATCATCAATTCACCACTCATATTTAGTTTCAGTGGCCCATAAACTCACCTCGAGCAAACCGCTACTCACAATAGCTAGATCAAGGGTTAACCGTCGAACAATCCAAGCCCTAATTATAACAACTTGGCATGAGTCAATATATCACTGCCTCCTAAAGATACGATTGTGAATTCATCTAACTACTGGTCGAGGTCCTTTCCACAACTCACCTACAAAAAGCTAGACATCTCTTCAACTCTTCAACTTATATTATCAATTAATTATTGAAGGAATTATATGATCAATTAAGTCACTTGAGGCATTACAACAAAACAGATGCTTTAAGACATAGGACATTATCATATATTATTATTCTAACAATTATTTTCAACAATGTAATCATGATATCCACTCATATATAACTATAGGGTTCTATGTACAGAGGACAAGAATGAAAAAATACGGCAATACAAGAAAGATAAGCTAAATCTCATTCCCTTTTTGGTTAACACTCTTTCCAGCCATATAAGCATAAGTGTTTTAACCTTGGTGATGTGTGCACTGAGTAATTTTGAAGCAAACATCTTTTTAGGTGTGGTAAGCATGCACACTCCACAAATAAGGAAAGGAACATTTTAAGACTCTAGACATAAAGAACGAGAACTTTCATTGAACATAAATGATACTAAAGAATTTAATGCACAACCACAACTAGAACTAAGGAATAAGATGAGGAGGATGATTTAGGAGGCAATATAGCATCTCCTCAGAGCAGCCCCTCGGGTGAAGTTACTCGAAGGATCCTCTAACTCTTCATTAAGAGGAGATAACTTGAACTTCCTTAGGCACTGTCTTCTACACCAATATTAAAAGATGATGATGAAGAGACATACTATGTAGGTAGTGATGCTTAGAACTCAAATCAGAATAAAGAACCACAGGTTAGAGCAATGAGAAATCTCCATTTAGAAAGCACTAATTTCTAGAGAATTTTGAAAGTAAAACCTCTCACAAAGTTCAAGACCAAGAGACAATGGAGCATCTAAACTCTTTCAAGTTTGGAAGGATATACACCTTAGAACACATTGCATCTTTTGTAGCAATATTCTCTTTCCACCACATTAACGATGGTTTGCAATGCATTTGCTCTTTATAACCCAGCAAAAGTCTATTTTGTGGTAGTTCTCCAGGCTTCCTTTGGGAGTGATCATTCCATTTCTTGATTTCAAGTGGATGCTCTTGACATAGGTAGCAAAAGCCTATAAAATGATATAATCTCACAATCGCTGTTGAGAATCTTGTAGGAGCCCAATGTGTCTTTAAGTAATTTCATCACTCACTTCTATAAAGAGATGCTAGAATTCAAGCATGTTAAGCTAGTTATTGCTCAAGTAGCTTCAACATAGGGAGTCCGAGAAGGCCCATTTAGATATGCTCTTAGTCTCCAACAGTTAAAGATCTTGAGCAAGCTGCTAGAGCTTGTCTACACTCACATTATTATAGAACAATAAATTGTCATGTTGGTGCCTCCACTACAGTATGAATTGAAGAACAATATAACCAGAAGAGATTCTTTAATTCTTTGAGGTGAAAGTAGTCTTGCCAATCGAGTGAGAGTTGATAAGGTGCTTTTCTAATCATATGAGAGCATGGCCTTACGGGAGGCATGTCATTAGTGAGAAACCCTGACATTATGAGAATTATAGAGTAATTTCATCCCCTCTAACTTGCTTTGCTACCTTTGCTTAAGACTTCATATGTTATTATTTTAGATCTATTTTTTTTTACAATTATGGTGAAATGTGTATTTTGTTGATAGAGAGATTTTATCATGATTGTTTTACATAATTTCTTCTAATGAATAAATATGATATGTTTTGAATGAAGTTTGAGTATTTTTGTTCTGTGATATTTTGATGAACTTAGTAGCTCTATATTTGTAAAAAATTAAGAAAAATATGTAAATAAAATTCTTTCCAAATAGAGCTTGGGTAATTACTTTATAATTGCAATATCGACCTGTCTTGATATGTCATGTTGCATCGAGTTGGGTTATGATATTTATTTTAGTTTAATTCGAGTATTGAATTTGAAGGGATTAATTTGTTATTTAAATCATAGTAATGATTAGTAGATGAGTGGTAGAGTTTTAGATAGTTTTTGATATTTTCTTTTCTAACCTTCTTCTATGTTTATTATATTAATTCATTGTATGTGTATGTTAGAGGCAAGTATTAAAAAATTATAAATCCCCAAAATTAGGATGTGATAAATGAACGAAGTTTCAATCAGGTTGGGGCATTATGGAGAATGGTTGGAGCTATCGTTGTCATTTTTTAACTCGATTTTCTAATTTGATGGCCTAATTAATTGGTGATGCTCATAGTAGAATCTCCACATCAATAATAGAGAGGAGAAATAGATATCTATAGTTATTTTTGTGATCAAGGACTCTGGTTTTGAGGGGACACTGGTGCCATTACTAGTTGAGGACTGGCTACTATGACTATAGAAATCTTTTGATAGCATGGAGTGTTTAGAGAACTATAAAGTACCCCTGACAGTATTTCTACATCATAGTAAAGTTGAGTGCTAGGAGAAGTTTCATGGTAAGTTGATTGTCGAGAGTACATGGACATGTTTACTATTACTTTTTAGATATTTATTTTTATCTCTGTTAGCTAAGCATTAGATGTAAGAATCTTTTCAAGGATTTGTTTAATGCATCAAAATAGTAATATGGTATGAGGTTGAGGTTATTGCACTAGCTATATATGCTTTCAACATGTAGTCAACACTTTAGAGGAGAAGTATTATAGATTTTTAAGGGCTCAAAGATAGTTTAAGTCACCCACTTGTTCCATTGAGAATCAAGAATTTCATTAGGTTACTAGAGAGGGTAAGATTAATGAGCCAAATGAGATTTCAAGGGGAATCTTCTAGAAGCAGTCTCATTATGAATAAGAGTTGATTTGGTTCATATGAATTTGGGAGATTTTCTACAACATCTAAAAGTAAGGGATTCATCTATTTCAATGAGTAAAGCTACAGTTTATACTTTATATAGAATATGGTATCATGATTCATGTTATTTATTTTATGGGAAATATTCTAAGTGTGGTTAGCTTGACCATAAGATAGTAATTTCCTTAGAGATAATGTGAGAATAAATTAGATATTTGAGTAGATTAGAGGTATGATAAACAACACATCATAATCCCGTCTAGAAATGTTACTGAATGAACATCTAATAAAGAAAGTGGTAGTATCACTAGAAGGTGGGCATGAGAAAGTCATAGAGATTTTATTGCTCTAATTGATACACGTCAAAATAAACATCGAGTTTATAATTTTACTCATCATGAAGCTAAGGATGTGTTTGGTGTTGTGATAGGTTCATTATTCATTTCTACACAATCACGTAAAATTTTATTTGATTATAGAGCAAGCCTTTTTTTATATTTGAGATATTTCTTTCTTTTTTTTAGATATTTTTTTGATTTCTACTCAAACTTATATTTATCATATTGAGATTTCAAATAAGAAGTTGGAGTTTGAGCCAATTATATTACCTTTTATTGAGTTATCTTAGATATGGATTGGTTGAGTGTACATGGAGCTTATATTGGTTTTAGCTGGAAGAAGGTGGCTTTATCTTATAGCGATGAATTGTTGTAATTTCTAGATGTCTGAGATGTGTTATCTTTATTAATATCAAATTTGTAGGTTGATATATTATGAAGGAAGGGGAATAATATATTTATTGCTTTTGTGAAAGATGATTTTGTTATATT